GTTTAAATGTTGTGCCGCAAACTTTAAACGAGCTTCAACGTGCTGTTTCTTTCCTGTGCCATTCCACATTATTACAAATAACTTCATTTCTGGACATTTATGGTTTGATTTCTTTGTATGTATGGATCACTTGGGTTGTTACTGACATCTGGTGAAAATTTCATGTCATTAGCACCTCTAGTAATATATTTACTGAGAAAAATGGTGACGTGTTCAATACTTATTTTACCCGATGTATGTAGACAAGTATGAAGGTGATCGTCACAGAGATACAGGATAAATGCAGCTGAAACAAGCAGTCTAGTGCATCCCAAACTTTTCAACATTAACTCATAAATAATTTACCATCATAGTCATTATGGCCTTTAGAGGTCGGGTTGTGCACTATAGGCCCACATGAAGCAGCCTAAGCTTTTGTCCCAGTTATTATTATTTTTTTGTTCTTCTACAGAAGTAGTTTTAAACCCTAGTATCTATACTTCTACTTAGGTAATGAATGTGAGTACTTTTGACACCTCTGTCAGTAACCCTTATACACTGAACATTAACACATCAGAATGAACACAGTCAGTTCAGGTGTTATGGGCTCGACACATGGAGAACGACAAATGACAGAGATTACCAGCTGTCATCTCATCCAGGGTGAAACCCATCACACACCAGCATTGCAAGATTTGGTTTTTTACACGTCTGTAATGCACCCCTCCCCCATTTTTTTATTTTTTGCAAACCACCAATAACCTTTACAAGAAGCAGTAGAAGAACCAATCAAAGTTTGTGAAGACAAGAGATCAGAGAGCATGATTCGCAACGCTGCCATTGCTATTACGCATTGTGTGTTGGGTTTTACCCTGGTTGTAATAACAGACGTTAACCGCTGTCGTTTGTTGCTCCCCATGTGTCGAGCCAATTAGGCTGAACAGCCAATCAGTGTGACCTCACTCTTACAAATAAATCTGATGTTGATTCAAAGGAAATGGAAAAAAAGAAAACATGGACAAGGTTTTGCCCTACAAAACCAAGACAAAAAGTGTCTGACATTCCTGATTTGTTTAGCTGTAAACCAATTTAAATGTCACTTCACATTCAGCCATTTGCTTTGCCCACCTGGTTTATGAAACTTCAGCGCCTCTCCTCTGAGCTGCTCCATTAGAGACCTTCCCTGCCCAGAATTCACTTCACCTTAACAAATAAACCATTTCAGAAACATGAAACAAATCTAAAAAAAAATAAAATGCTTGGAATACTTTGCTTTCACTATTGCTCACCATTCGCTACCACTTCCTCTTTCTTCACCTTTACATCATTTTCTGCAACCTTTGCTTTCTGTGGCTGGAGTAATTACAAAGGAATAGTTAGGACACTCTGAAAGTGTGGGCTGTACAACAGCTCAATCTTATACTCTCCATAACATGAGCAACTTGACTCAAAGTACCTTTAGAAGTCAGTATATAGGTTTACATACTAGCTCATGACACGGCTGTAAGTATTTAATGTGTTTTCTGAGACTGAAGAGTTTTTTTATAGACAAAACCATGTGTCTATAAATGTGGTCCTTTCTATTAAATTTTAGGTGCACTTCTACCTTTGGTTTCTTCTCCAGATCAGCTTCTGTTTTGGTTCCCAACAGCTGAAGAACCTTTTAAGACCAAAGCCACAGTTTGTTTCAATACTCAGTGAGGAAAATAAACTTCAAGTGTTCAATCACGACAAATCCATTTCTGTAAACAAAAGATTATTCTTTCTAAACATACCTGTATGTCCACCTCATTTTTGATCACCTTCCCATCAGCCCATTTAAGAGCTGAACGAGCTTCACCTGCAGAAAGACACAAAGTGCAAAAGTCTGATTTGCCATCAGGCTTTACGGGCTGCAAAAATAATTACTAACGAATAAGGAGCTCATACTCATTAGCAAGCCCATGTTGAAGCGGTATCTCTCCTTCAGGAGCTGCTCCTTGTGCTTCTTTAATACAAACTCTACCTGCATGGCATGCCACTGTCACTGAACAGAACTACACAGCAATGTTTCAGAGAAAACTTTTGATCAGTGGGAGATCCTGCACTTACTGCATCCTCAATCTGTTCAGGGGTTATGACTATGCCCACGCCACATGCTTCATCAAAAGCTTCCTGACTGATGGGGTCTTGAGGATGACTCTTCACAAAGTCCAAAGCAGCTGCAAATGCAAGATGATAAAACATTTTCAAGAATATAAACAAATAAACCAAGCAATATATGTTATTTGCCCCAAATGTTTTCTATTAACAAGACTGATCAGAAATTACCTGTCAGCTGCAGCTCTGTGCAGATTTTCCTCTGGGCGATATAGTCTGAAAGAAATCCCAAACGTTTGATATCTTTAAGGCGAGATGCCAAACTGTACAGCAGTGTGCCCATTGCTTTGTCCACTCCTGATGCTCCATTGACATGCTGTGCCTTTAAAAACACATTGGGACAAATCATTAGTTTTCTCCTCTAAAATCTGCAAAATTAACTGTGTAAAGTAAAATCAAGCAGCAGAAATCAGGGCTGGTCTGCACACAACCTGCAGTATATATTATGTAAAGACACACACATACAATTAATTAAATAATAATGAAAGTGAAACCATAAAAAATAAGTAAATGTATAACTAGGATAACTTTCAAAATGAGAAAAAGTAGCTGGAAACGACTGGTCACATTTTCCACAGCAGTCTACCTGAGTAATGGCTTCTTTCAAGACAGAACTGAGCGCTTCATTTTTCAGAGTTTCCTTTGCTTTCTGCTCACTGAGCCCTATCGACGTAAAAAGTGCCAAAGTATCCGCCATTAGCCTGCTAGAAATATCTGAACCTCACTGCCACACACCGCACCACGTCCTGTCTTCAGAGAAAGAGCAAGCGGATACTTCCTGTACATTAAGCGAGAAAAAATGAAGGACGGCCACATTACCCAATAGGAAACCACAGGTATGAAAAGTATTGACCAATCGTGAGTAAGATTGCAAACCGGAGAACCAATCAGACGTTTGTTGACAATCGAGTGGGTGGGGCAAGCGAAATTGGTTTGATGTTGCATCAGATTGATAAATCAGTAATTTCGGACAATTAAATGTAATCTTCTGAAGTAATTGTTTTTTGTTTATTCTACATAGAAATTTAGTTGCGCTATTACACAAACATGACTCTATTGTAAAAGTATTTTGTGAATCATGCTTTCTGACGCAGTGTGACGTTTTTGTTGTCCAACTTTAAACAAAAAATAAACTCCGCGAAAGTCATTTTGTCTCGCCTCGCGTCAGGAAAGTGAAGCTGCATGTGATTTCACCATTCATGGCTTTCCGTGTTTGTCACACTTATTACAATGTCTTTCTAGAGGTTATAACTCAGTAAAGGCGTGTTTTAAATGCTGAACAGACCGCGGAGACGTTTTGTAGTTTCAAAACAAGAATGGTCAAACATGCGGTGTTGTCTTCAGGAACAAAACTGTGGAGATCTTTGGCTTGTGCAAAGTCAGAACTGCGCCTGGATCTCACTCTAGCCTGCGGACAGTCTTTTCGGTGGGTTTGTCTAACTCAGTCACAACCTCGGAACCTTTAGGGCACAAAATACGTAACAGGCATGTCATTTGCTTTAACACTTGCAGCTGGAAAGAAACCGCAGAAGGACACTGGACTGGAGTGATGGGAGGAAGAGTGTGGACTCTGACTCAAACGGACGACACTCTTTGGTACTACCTCTACACAAAGCAGAACAATCAGAGTGGAGGTGATGTTTCCCTTCAGGACAACAACAAAAGGGCTGACAGAAGGTCTAAAGATGATCAGAGGAAGGATGAGGAGGAGCCACAGGCTGTTAGTAGCCAACAGGACAGTGAGATGGAGGCAGAGGTGATGCTGAGAGACTATTTTCAGCTGCACGTCAAGCTGGGGGATCTGTACAGAGAGTGGGGGGAAGCAGATCCACACTTTAAGAAGATTGCAGACATTTTCACTGGTCCGTGTCTTTCAATAAGTATGATCATTATTCCACAATATGTCAACAGTTAAAATGTTTTTTGACAGGTGTGTTGTATATGCTGCTTGGTGTTTCTCCAGGTGTACGGATTCTGCGCCAGGACCCCACTGAATGCTTGTTTTCCTTCATCTGCACATCCAACAACCACATTTCGCGTATTCAGGGAATGGTGGAGAGATTGTGTCAGGCTCTGGGCACGCCACTTGGCCAGCTGGACCAAACCGCCTACTATGACTTTCCTACCCTCTCTTCACTAGCAGGTGTTGTAAACCTTCCTGCAGATCATATTCACCAAACCAGAGTCTTGCCAACAACTTAACCATCAACCATGAAGGGTTTATTGTGTCTCTTGATAGTCATAAATAAATTTTCTATCCCTTCGCCAGCTAGATCTTGTTCCGTTGGCAGGGTTAAGTTTTATTACTCACAGTTTATTACCTTGTTTCATTTTTCACAAAATGTCATTGTGCTCTTTCATGTTGTGTTTTGCACCTCTGAGTGATCATCTGAACACCTGCTTTCTGCTTTTACCTACATTTTAAAAATGACATATGCAAAATCCACTTCTTTTAGCCATTAAATGCGTTTTGTTGTTTACTTGGGGTCTCCAGGAGTGCAGAAAAGTTTAATTTATTCTCTCCTGTAGCTGCATAAATATCTTTACATTCTGTTTGGGTCATGTTTTTCAACCCGTTCAGTTTGCTCTACTTTATGAAATTTTCTGATCTATTGCAACAAATTATTTGCGACGGCCTAGCAAAATAAACTAAAGTCTGGACTTACCAACTAGAGTTTCCTCTGGCTCTGGGTCAGACTCTTGGCTCAAACATGCAAGGCTGGATGGACAAGTCTTCCCTTGTTAACAACTTTTAATTAATTTGTAAATAAATATGTTTCTGCGCAGCTACAGCGGGTGAAATAAGTATTGAACATGTCACCGTTTTTCTCAGTAAATATATTTTTGGAGGTGCTATTGACATGAAATTTTCACCGGATGTTTGTAACAACCTAAGTTATCCATGCATACAAATAAATCAAACCATAGACGTCCAGAAATGAAGTTATTTGTAATAATGTGGAATGGCACAGGGAAAAAGTATTGAACACACTTACTGAAATTTATCTAATACTTTGTACAAAAGCCTTTGTTGTCAATGACAGCTTCAAGACGCCTCCTGTGTGGAGAAACTAGTGGCATGCATTGCTCAGGTGTGATTTTGGCCCATTCTTCCACACAAACAGTCTTCAAATCTTGAAGGTTTCGTGGACCTCTTCTATGAACTCTGATCTTTAGTTCTTTCCATAGATTTTCTGTTGGATTCAGGTCAGGTGATTGGCTGGGCCATTCCAGCAGCTTTAGTTTCTCTCTCTGAAACCAACTGAGAGTTTCCTTGGCTTTGTGTTTGGGCTCATTGTCTTGCTGAAATGTCCAGCCACGTTTCATCTTCATCATCCTGGTAGATGGAAGCAGATTTTTATCAAGAATGTCTCTGTACATTTTTCCATTCATCCTTCCTTCAATTATTTGAAGTTTGCTGTTATGCAGCAAACTTTAAAGGAGCTTCAACATGCCGTTTCTTCAGCAGTGGAGTCTTGCGTGGTGAGCGTGCATACAGGCCATGGTGGTTCAGTGCATTACTTATTGTTTTCTTTGAAACAAACGTACCTGCTAATTCCAGGTCTTTCTGAAGCTCTCCACAAGTGGTCCTTGGCTCTTGGACAACTCTTCTGATAATTCTTTTCACTCCTCTGTCAGAAATCTTGTGAGGAGCACCTGGTCGTGGTTGGTTTATGGAGAAATAATGTTCTTTCCACTTCTGAATTATGGCCCCAACAGTGCTCACTGGAACCTTCAGAAGTTTAGACATTCTTCTGTAACTGATGCCATCATTATGCTTTGCAACAATAAGGTTGCGAAGGTCTTGAGAGAGTTCTTTACTTTTACCCATCATCAGATGGTTCTTGTGTGATACCTGGCCATCATTTGGGACTGAACCAGCTGATATTAACTTGCACTGACAAGGGGCAGGCTTGCTTTCTAATTACTGAGAGAGTTCAGCTGGTGTCTTTCAATGCCTTTTTACACCTCCCTTTCTTCATGTGTTCAATACTTTTTCCCTGTGCCATTCCACATTATTACAAATAACTTCATTTCTGGACGTTTATGGTTTGATTTCTTTGTATGTATGGCTCACTTGGGTTGTTACCGACATCTGGTGAAAATTTCATGTCATTAGCACCTCTAGTAATATATTTACTGAGAAAAATGGTGAGGTGCTCAATACTTATTTCACCCGCTGTATATAGTCGTAAACCCCTCTATCAAACTGGAATGGACCACTCTGGAGGGGGGCAGAGTGTGAAGTGCCACATTTGGATTTAAAGAGACAGCCTCAAAACGAGTTGATCTGAGACACAGCTCACAAAAGGAGTGAAAGAGGGTCTTGTGGAGTTACAATAAGGAGGAATTGAGACCAAAGCGTTGCACTTCCGTTAGATCCCACCTGAAGGATTTAAGTGTGAAAAAGAAAGATTTAAAAGCAAGATACGTCTCCTTTAAGTCACAATGTGTCATTTTCACTAGCTATTTAAAGAATTTGTTAACTTTTAATTACACAAAGAAAACCTTGTTCCTGTATGTGTGTTCTTCTAATTGTCAGACTGCAGTGTAGAGGCATGCCTCAGGGACCTCGGCTTTGGTTATAGAGCTCGGTTCCTTCAGCAGAGTGCAAAGCAGATTCTGGACTCTCACGGGCTCCAGTGGCTCGAAGGTTTACGCCGAGTCTCGTACCTGGAGGCCCGTGATGCTCTTCGGACTCTTCCTGGTGTTGGCACTAAGGTACAACAGGAAACTGTAGCGTATGCTCCTCATAATTTGATGTTTTTGGGATAAAACAACAACAGCCGTTATTTGAGGATTTGTGTCATCTTACAGGTGGCAGACTGCGTATGTTTGATGTGTCTGGATAAGCCAGACGCCGTTCCCGTGGACACACACGTGTGGCAGATTGCTCAACGGGACTACAAGTATGCTGCCGATAAAAGACAAAAGAGTCTTACAGAAAAAGTTCACAGAGATATTGGTTAGTTTTCACACACCTTCCTGACAGTAAAGAACATTTTCCATCCTTCAACACAACTTCTAATCAACTGTTTCTTCCACAGGAGGTTTCTTTAGAAAACTTTGGGGACCGTATGCTGGCTGGGCACATTCTGTAAGTGTTAGTGTTCAGTAAGTTTCTGTCACTAAGGCCATAGTTTGTCCGCTGTTATAACCTATTGTTTCTCTGTTTTAGGTGCTATTCTGCGCTGACCTCAAGAAGTTTCAAAGCCTCAAAGAAAAGGCCTGTTTTAACCAGCTGGAGACAGAGGAAGAAGAGGAGAAGTGCAGTAAGACAGAAATAAAGAGAGAATTTGATGGACGTGGACTAAACATGATGTCAGAAAATCAGAAAAAGGCAAAGATGTGTGTCAAAGAAGAGAACACTGTAAGATAAACGAGCTTCTAATCAGATCACACTTTTTGTTTATTTAACTCTATCAGAGCATACACTGAAATGAAATGTTGGGTGACTTCCCGTTTAAACCTAACATAAAGCAGTTTATAATTGTAAATTTACAGTTTCTTGTAACATAACTCATTGTTTTTAAATAATTTAGCAGCTAGAAATAAAACACTGGATTATTGTTTTATTATGAGTGAATAAACAGATTTTTAAATGGTATTTTGTATTTAGATGATAGATTTTTTTAATAAATCATTTCTAAAACGAGCCTCTAGGTGGCAGCATTTACCAAAGCAAAAGGACAACAGTGGGTCATTTGGAACAGGTTTGCCTTTATAATAAATTGTATTAGTCTCCAAAATGAATTGTTCTTCAAGCGTTTTTGCTCATGTTTTACCATGTACCAACACTTCATGCCATTTTAATGCACATGTAAGGATGCGTTCTTGTGCATCGGAATATTGGATCATAAGCAGCCGTTGGACTGAGTGGTTGTGAAGTGTCAAAGTGACTGTATGTTTATCTATAGGCTCTGGCAGAGTGTGTCAGCTGATCTTTTTAGAGCAGGGACTGCAGTGATCTGCTGTCAGTGCTTGGGGCTGCTGTGACTGTCTCTGGTCACAACATGGCCACATCTCCTGGGGGTGTCTGACGCACTGCTGTCTCTTTTAGAGGAATGACTGAGCAGGATTTTAATTTCTTTTGAATATACTGAGATTAATTATTCTTATTTTTCCCAAATGTGGCAGCAGCACACAAGGCCATCCAATCTTAATCTGGGCAATGTTTGCTGACATGTGAGCCCATGCATTATATTTGTGGTTGGGTCTGTGCGCGGCTGTCTTCCATCCGTGGACGTGTTTTATTTGTGGAACAGAGTGCAGCCATGTGAGATAATGAACATGTGAATCAGCTTTCATCCCAGTGAAGCTAAACGGAAGCTGGGGCCCAGCTTCAGGGCAGAGTCACCGTGAAGGAAGGAAAGCGAGATATAAAAATAGACAAAAGAGAAAATAAAAAGAGAACGAGGGATGGGTCTGCAGGAGGCAGAAACAAGAATAACAGCAAACACACAAAGAAGAGTGAAACACAAGTGGCTTGTGAGTAATGTAAAAGATGAGTTTCCACCCTTGGGCTTGTTTCAGTCGAAAGGATGTCTCAATGTGGAAACTTCACTAAAATAAGAGTGTTGTTACATGTAACAGGCACTGGTGGCGCTCTGCCTTTGGAACTTCTGGTTGATGACAGCTTGATGAGGCAGTTCTGTGGTGGCCAACCTAAAATTGAAAGGATTCCTTTAAAAATGGGTCGAATGTAAAAATTCACATTTCACAACTTCTTTTTAATTCATTGTGTAGTAAGATTTGTTGAAAGTCTCTGTTTTCTAATTTATCTATCATAATTAAATACCAATAACACTTTCCATATTTCCCTGTTTTTATTTTAAAAAATCACAACAATTTTTGTAATCATGGTTATAAACATATTTGATACAATATGAGTACAACTATCAGACATGAACACATTTCTACATTGTTCAAAAACATATAATTATCACTTTGTTTTGATCCTTTCCAGTAAATATTACCGAGCTTCTCATAACTGAGGCAACATCACTAAATCAAACTTCCTGATCTTAAAATTTTGCACTTTAGACAAAGAGCTATAAAGGAACTGTAAGGAACAGTTATTTTAACACTGTAATTTAAAAGTTATGTACAAAACAATGGAGCAGAAATATATATAGTTAGTCATTTATGTCATACCTCTTAATTATTTTTGATTCAGTCAGAATTTTATTTCCCCACTGTTTACAGTGATGGATGTTGTTTTTCTTCATTAGTGATAGACAGGTTGATGCATTAGTATTTGATGGAAAAGTCTTGGACAGACAAAATTTAAAGAGAGTGGTGTTGTTCACCTTAGGTTTGGTGAAATTGAATGCTTTCAGAGGCAGCTGAGATGGAGCCTGATAGACAGAGGGGGAGGCAGTCACTGGGGCCCAGGGGTGGGGGTGGGGGGGCATTCTCTCACAAGATGAAGGGAAACCACACAGTGAAAGAGTCAAAGCACAGAGTTGGCAAGTATCGTGGATCTCAAGCCTTTCTGGCTCTGGTGTGTGGATGGTTGCTGAGCTGTTCTTAATCGAGGTTTATTTTGATGAGAAACAGAAGACGTCGAACCGTCTCAGAGAACCACTGCTTTTTATTCTGTGATTGGGCTTCAGTGTCTCGTACACTGAGAAGAAGACGCAACTCAATTTGTCACAGTTTTAAATTTCACATGCGCTGTGAGGATCAGTTCAAACGGGCCTTTCAAGACACAGGCTTTTGATCAAAACATCGAGAGACCTCTAAAGCTTTTCTTTGAAATACAATATTTAGGACAAAACCGATTGCAAATTGGTTGTAAATGAAGACAATTACGAGGAACCAAAGTGACAGAAAAGAAATCATAAAAGAACAAAATCTGACATAAAATCAAAACAAATATGATCACAAATAAATACAGAAAAAATTACATGCAAAATGTACAGTGGAACACAAAGTACACATAGTTACAAAAGATATGTAAAATGATCAAAGTATGACAATTAAACAAAATCATGAATTTTGGGACACAAAATGTCACAGCATCAAAAATGTGAAATTAACAACAGTAAAAGGTACAGAAATGAGCGGGACAGAGGCCAGAGAAGCCAAATATGTGTATGTGATCATTAGGTTGCAAGTTTGAATCCCTTTGGTCCATGGAATAGGGTGGCTCACCGTGCACCCCCCTCCACACACACACACACACACANACACACACACACACACACACACACTACTGAACTTCTCTGGTATTTTCATGTACCCTAGGGTCCAGTCTTTCAGAAAATGCATGATCTGTTGCATAAATAATCAACAAAAGCACATCTAAATTAGAGACCATGTCAATATCTATCATTTAACACCAGATTTATGACATTTTATTCTGACATGGTAAATCTACACGTAAGTTTGACATCCTGGAAATTCTGAACCAGTGCACACAATGAGTAGGGGTGTGGTCAAAAACAGGTCCCTGTGGAGTAGTACCTACAACTTTTATTTTGTTAACAGACTTTTTTTTCTGAATAAGTGGATCCTAAGGTGCATGAAAAGGCTAAGTAAGTTGAATATTTAGTATCTGTGTGGTAAACTCGGATATCTGTTGCGGTTGTGACAATTTGAGCCTCTGATGACACCATTGTTTGCACATTTGTTTAATGAAAAGTCATTTAAATTGAACAGCTAATCAATACAAATCAGCTGATACCCTGTTTTTTTTTTAAATTTGGTTGTTTTATAGGAAAGTTATTGGCAGTTAAGTTCCCTGTATCCCTAACTGTGATGGTCAGAATGAAAAAGGCATGTGGTCACAAAGTGGTCCCTGGGGGGCAGTGAGACCCAACTTTTTTTCTAACATGCTTTTTTTTTTTAAAGAGTGGACCCTAGGGTTCATGAAAATACCAGAGAAGTTCAGTACTGGGGTGTGGTGACCCACCCTAATCTACATACTAAAAAGATGCAAATTTACATATTTTGTTGGGATAGTGACATTTTAAACCCCCGATGACATCATCAATCGCACATTTTGTTTAGTGAAAAGTAATTTAAAGCAAAGAGCTAATCAATATGAATCAGCTGATACCTTGTTTGTAAAATTTGGATGTTTTATAGCAAAGTTATTGGCAGTTAAGGTCCTTGTACCCCTAATTTTGATGGTCACAGTGGAAAAGGGGTGTGGCCAAAGTTGTCCCCGGGGAGCAGTGAGACCCAACTTTTTTCTGTTAATATGCATTTTCTGAAAGAGTGGACCCTAAAATCTGTTAGTTCCAAACTGTTTTTGTAGCATTTAGAATAATAATCTTACAGATAAAGAAAACAGATTGCATTTAGAAAGACAGTCATTATGCCTCTGTATCAACAACTTTTTTATTTATTGTAGAGACATTTGATCACAATGCAGCAAATCAGGTAAAAAAAAACTCACAAAAAATCTAAATGCTTGACTTTAAAATAAGAAAAAAATACAGAAAAAGATAATTAAAGTCAATTCTCTGATACTCTTTAAAGTCAAAGATTACTAAAAAAAAATCAAACTTTGTTTTCTTGGCTTGAAAATTCCCCATTACAGTGGGGGTAAAAAAAGAGAAACCATAAAACTATTTCACATTTCAGGTAATACATATGGGGCCAGATAAACTGTTAATAGGGGCCAGATTTGGCCCATGAGCCTTTAGTTTGACATGCGATCTAAAGTAAAGGTCCATTCTGTGCATAAACTTCATAATCCGTCTGTCTTTATGAAGCTAAAAAGAGAAGTGATACAACTGATGAGACGTCTTTCTGATAATAACCCAGTCACAACGCAATCAAGTCTGTACAAAACATGGATGCTTCAGTTTATGTCAGTGGCACAATGAGGGACCCGCAGTGCTCCAAGTATCTCATGAATGCTTTATGAAGCATTTAAAAACCTCCATTTTTTTAAAATTCAGATAAGACTACACTACTGCAAGAGGGAAGACAGACCAGCCTGTACTGGTTTATTCTTGCACACACATTCACCAGCATGATAACAGACAAAAAAAAAATCAAAAGGGCAGGAAAGGACAGTATGCTGCAGGCTCATTGAACGGCCTTTAGACAGACAGTAGAAATAAGAATACCCAATCATCGCACTGAAAAAGAATGCATCCCCCGCATAAATGTTAAAAACAAAACCATTGGACATGATTTTAAAAAGTTCAAAAGATATTCCCTAAAAACCCATCTTTTTGGCCATTAAAATAGGTCACAACTAACCCACTAACAATGAAAAAAGGAGGGAAGAATGGAACAATGTCATTATAAAATTACTATATAT